AGGAGTTAAAGGGTCAATGATGTGGAACATAAAGCCTTTTTTTAAAGAACCAAAGTGCAACAATGACAGCGTTGTTTTTCATTTAAAGCTGAACATGCGTGTACCTGAAGGCCACAAACAGACATCAGAGGAAAAATAAACCTCAGCATGGCTCATTTTAACCAGTATGTGTATGTGTGTATCAGTGGTCACAGTCAGGTTGTAATCTTATACAAAAGAGTTACACATGAGGTTTTAATCTGACATCTTTAAATCTTAAAAACAAACAGTGTCATCCACCATCCACAAGGCCTCATCCATCTTTACGGAGGGCCTGATGGGCCTTCCTGCGGCCAAACAGAACTTTAACCCGGCCAACAAACTGCAGAATAACTAATGAATCATTATCCTAAAGTAAAAAAAAAAAAACACAATATATGATTCAATTGAATTCAATACAATTAAATATATATATTTAATTGTATTGAATATATAATGTTAGGTTAGTAACAGTTTGTCAGTCCTACCTGTGGCTGTGTTGATTAAAAATAAAATCAAAAACCAATACAGCTTCCCACTTCATCACTGCATCGAGGTGTCAGCGAGTCCTTTAATCCTTTGTGAAGAACACAAGGAAAAAACTGGCACCGTACTTGATGGATAAGCCTTGAGGTGTCGTGAGTTCATTTCATTCATTAAAGTATTATTCAAAAATATTTAATGAAAATAACTGTTTGTCAATGGACAAGTGGATTGAGGCAGAATAGACAGGTTTGTGTTTTTTGCAGTTAATCAGGATATGAACCTTCTGAAAAACATGGACCCCAATAGACTCAGTATCGCTGACGTGATTGGGACTCAGGGCTTAAGAGGAGAAATCCATTTTACTTGGCGCCTAACTTGAGCCCATTCACACTTCTTCAGTCTACCGTAGAAGATATGGAACAGCAGATTCAGTATTTGCGATGCTTGATAGAAATCATACACAGGGGGATCTAGAATATAATATCCGAAAGCATGGGTCCAGTTTTGCCGATCAAACAGGAAGAGGGCTACTGTAGCTTCAAAGTGCTGAAACGTTAATGCTGTTTCTGATAAAAAAATGTGTCAGAAGACACACAGGTGCAGAGCAAGTCTGTTGGGGTCTGGGGCTGCAGAA